CGCGTCAACATGGCGGCGGCATCCGCAGCTCCCGGGGCGTTCCGCGAGGATTCCACCTTTTGGCAAACGTTGACGAGCCTGCAAGAGCTGCGCCGCCATAGGTTCCAAGGGCTTGTTGCCGTTGAGACGGGACGAGTGATTGGCCCACTTGACCAGAGATGCCACAGTGGTAGTAGTAGGAGCCTGCTTGAGGTACAAACGTGGTTGATCATTGGTCCAGGTGTAGTGCTTAATGATGTCTTCCGGCGTGCTGTGCATGGTGAGCAGCTGAGGTGTGGCTGGCTTGGAAGGCGGGGACGACAGTCCGTGAAGAGATTGTATGATCCGAGGCTGCTGTTGGGATGGACCATCAAACGACCTGCCATCAAGGGCAGCCGCACTTACCGTAGGAAGCGAGCTGGTTGGCGTCGAAGACTGCGAATGATTGGTCGGAGGCGGTGTGACCAGCTCTGCATCATCTTTCTGAGAGGGCAGCGTAGAAGAAGGCGAAGTTCGCTGCGATGCCGAACACTGTGCCTGGAGCAACTCGTGAGCACGATGGAGATCGTTGTACTTTTTGACCATGTCGGCCTCTTGAGCAGGGGGTGTAAGAGTCAGATGATGTTGATGAAGAAACTGAAGCACCAGATTGGCCAAGTGATCATGAACCTTGATGCGCTGATTGAAGTCTTCGATGTTGAGTCCGAGTGAATTGGCAAGGTCCTTTTCCAGGGTGAGCAGTTCGAACAAGTGCTCCAGAGCAAGGCCTTGGTGCGGGTGCGAAATCCTTCCCACGTCACGAATCTCCCGTGTGCAAAGGGTCGCAGTAGCCAGTTAGAGATGCCCCCGTGGATGACCTGAACCAAGCGAACATCCCGGAGGTCCATGCCTGACATATCGCGTGAGTTGTTGTGCGGGGTGTTGGCAACCCTCATGGGCAGGGTGAAAGAGTATAGCTGATTGACGTCGAACATGCCGTCACCAGGTTTCCAATCTTCTGATGGGGCAAGCCACGCTTTCTGAGGCTGCACTGGCAGCGTAGCTGGGTATCCTGGCGATGTCGTAGTTTGGGAAGAATGAACTGGTGCGTGGGCAGGTGGTGGCATCATGGGCTTCACGATTTTCGCCGGTCTGGGTTCCGGAGGAAACGGCATCATGTAGTTGACCGGAGGGTGCTGATAGAGCTGTGATGACGAGGGGTTCGGCTGGTAGTTGCTTTGTGTCATTGGAAAGGCAATGGGAGCATTGTAAGGAGGGCCATTTTTTTTAGGATTTTTTCGTTTTTTTTTAGGAATTATTTTTGTTTTTCAGGGTCGGTGGCTTTTCGGCTTTTGTGGCTTTCGTGGCTTTTCATTTCGCATCATCTGCATTCACAGTTCCTCTCTTTTCGCATCCTCTGCATTGCCAGTTCCGCTGCGGCAGGTGGCTTTTTGGCTTTTTGGCTTTTTGGCTTTTTGGCTTTTTGGCTTTTTGGCTTTTTGGCTTTTGGCGGCTTTCTGGCTTTGGCTTTTCGCATCCTGATGCTTTTCCAGTTGGCTTCCTGCATCCTCAGCATCGCAAGTTCCTCTCTGGGCCCCCCGCCACCCCCCTTTCGATTAAAATGCACGCCTATTTGAATCATCACTTTTTCGATCATCATGCGACAGCTACTTTTTAGATTCTTTGCCCCTATTTTTTCGATCATCATGGGGGGGGGGTGCCGTTTTACAGGGATTAGTTTGCCCGTATTTGAATCCTCACTTGTACCATGAGGCCTTGCCGCAGAGGAACTGATGACCCCCGGCTGTTTTTTTTTCTTTTTGTTTGGCCCTTTTGAATCATCACTTTTTCAATCATCATGGGGGGGGGCTGCCGCCCCCCCCAACCCCCCCGCTATTTGTTGGACTTTTTGCCCCTAATTGAATCATCACTTTTTCGATCATCATGCGACCGCTCCTTTTTAGATTCTTTGCCCTTAATTTTTCGATCATCATGGGGGGGGCTGCCGCCCCCCCCCAACCCCCCCGCTATTTTTTAGACTTTTTGCCCCTGATTGAATCATCACTTTTTCGATCTACAGGGATTAGTTTGCCCGTATTTGAATCCTCACTTGTACCATGAGGCCTTGCCGCAGAGGAACTGATGACCCCCCGCTGCTTTTTTATATATTTTTTGTCCCCAATTGAATCATCACTTTTTCAATCATCGTGGGGGGGGCTGCCGCCCCCCCCAACCCCTTTGCTATTTTTTGACTTTTTGCCCCTATTTGAATCATCAATTTTTCGATCATCATGCGACCGCTACTTTTTGGATTCTTTGCCCCTAATTGTTCGATCATCATGGGGGGGGCGGCGGCAGCCCCCCCCCCCAACCCCCCGCTATTTTTTAGACTTTTGCCCCTGATTGAATCATCACTTTTTCGATCTGCAGGGATTAGTTTGCCCGTATTTGAACCCTCACTTGTACCATGAGGGCTTGGCGCAGAGGCACTGATGCCCCCCCCGCTGCTTTTTTTTTAAATATTTTTTTGGCCCTAATTGAATCATCACTTTTTCGATCATCGTGGGGGGGGCTGCCGCCCCCCCCAACCCCCCCGCTATTTTTTGGACTTTTTGCCCCTGATGGAATCATCACTTTTTCGATCTGCAGGGATTAGTTTGCCCGTATTTGAACCCTCACTTGTACCATGAGGCCTCGGCGCAGAGGCACTGATGCCACCCCCGCTGCTGTTTTTATATATTTGTTTTGCCCTAATTGAATCATCACTTTTTCAATCATCGTGGGGGGGGCTGCCGCCCCCCCCAACCCCCCGCTATTTTTTGGACTTTTTTGCCCCTATTTGAATCAGAACTTTTTCGATCATCATTGCGACCGCTACTTTTTAGATTCTTTGCCCCTAATTGTTCGATCATCATGGGGGGGCTGCCCCCCCCCAACCCCCCCCCCCTATTTTTAGACTTTTTGCCCCTGATTGAATCATCACTTTTTCGATCATGATGGGGGGGCTGCCGCCCGCCCCAACACCCCCGCGCCTCGAATTGAATCATTACTTTTTCAATCATCATGGGGGGGGGGCATCATGGGGGGGCTGCCGCACCTCCCCCCCCCAAAAAGGCTGCCGCCCCCCCCCCAACCCCCCTGCGCCTTTAATTGAATCCTCACTTTTACCATGAGATGCGGGAAGCCAATTTGCTGGTGATGCTGGCGATGTTGGCTGGACATGCGGGTGACGGACTAGCGTAAAATACGTACATTTCGCGAGAAAATGCTATAAAATACAGCATTTTAGTAGCCAGGACGGAAAACAAAAAAATCCCAACATAAAACAAAAAAATCCCAAATTAAATCTCGACCCGCATTGTAACTCGGATTGTGTTGCCAGGACATCAGGTTGTTCCAATCCAT